AACCCTGTGAAACAAACTAAATGGAACCTCCCCGGCTGTCTCTCCTAGACACTTCCACCTCTACTGTCTCTCCTAGACACTTCCACCTCTACAGGTATGTCATCTGGACCAACAGCCTTTTCACTCTTCATTCTCCTCAGAGCCTTCCTCACCTCATCCTTGCTAATCTTAGCTACTTTTTGCTCTACAATATTCACCTCTTCCCCCCCTTCTTTCCCTCTCATTTTCCTCATTCATCAGTTCTTCAAAATACTCCTTCCATCTTCTCTGCACACTCTCCTCACTTGTTAGCACCTTTCCATCTCTGTCTTTAATCGCCCTTGTCTGTTGCACATCCTTCCCATCTTTATTTCTCTCTCGCTAATCTGTACAAGTCCTTCTCACCTTCCCTTGTGTCTAACCTGGCATACAACTCATCATATGCTTTCTGTTTGGCCATTGCCACCTCCCTCTTCACTCTACACTGCAATTTTTTGTAATCCTGTTTACTGTCTTCAGTCCTTTCTACGTCCCACTTCTTTTTTAGCTAGCCTCTTCCTCTGAATGCTGTCCTGTACTTCCTCGTTCCACCACCATGTTTCCTTGTCTTCTTTCCTCCTTCCAGATGACACACCTAGCACCTTCCTACCTGTCTCCCTGATCACTTCTGCTGTAGTTTCCCAGTCATCTGGAAGTTCTTCCTGACTACCCAAAGCCTGTCTCAACTTCTGTCTGAATTCCTCACAGCATTCTTCCTTTTTCAACTTCCACCATTGGTGTTCTTTTCTGTCTTTCCTCTCCTCTTCATCCTACACACCACCATCTGATGCTGTCTGGCTACACCGTCTCCTACCACCACTTTGCAGTCACTAATCTCTCTCAGATTCCCTCGTCTACATAGAACGTAGTCTACCTGCGTACTCCTACCTCCACTCTTATATGTATCTCTATGTTCCTCCCTCTTCTGGAAATACATGTTAACTACAGCCATTTCCATCCTCTTAGCAAAGTCCACCACCATCTGTCCTTCTAGATTCCTTCCCTTGACACCAAACCTGCCCATCACTTCCTCATCACCTTTGTTCCCCTCACCAACGTGCCCGTTTAAGTCTGCCCCGATCACCACTCTCTCCCCTCTGGGAATACTCTCCATCACCTCATTTAACTCACTCCAGAATCTCTCCTTCTCTTCTAACTCACACCCTACTTGTGGAGCACAACCACTGACTACATTCAACATTACCCCTTCAGTTTTCAACTTTAGGCTGATCACCCTGTCTGACACTCTTTTCACCTCTAAAACATTCCTCACAAATGCCTCCTTCAGGATCACTCCTACCCCATTTCACTTCCTGTCCACACCATAATAAAACAGTTTGTATCCCCCTCCAATACTATGCGCTTTGCTACCCTTCCACCTGGTCTCATGCACACACAGTATATCTACCTTCCTTCTCTCCATCATGTCCGCCAGCTCTCTACCTTTCCCTGTCATTGTCCCAACATTAAGCGTCCCTATTCTCAGACCTATACTCCTGCCTTTCTTCTTCTTCTCTCTCTGTCTACAAACCCTTCTGCCTCCTCTCCTTCTTCAACCAACAGTAATCCAATTTCCGCCAGCACCCTGTAGGCCAGCAGCGCTGGTGGTGGTCATTGTTTATTCGGGCCTCGACTGATCTGGTATGAAATTCACACCGATGATTCGCATGTTTGAATTTGGCACGTTTTACGTTGGATGCCCTTCCTGACACAACCCTCTCTATTTATCTGGGCTTGGGACCGGCATAGAAGTCACTGGCTTGAAACTCCTGTGGCTATATTGAGATTTCTCACCCTGATACTGCTGCAAATTAGCCTGTGGTCACTGCAAACACAGGCTGTTAAAAATAAGTTTCTACTGCAATGCTCTTGAGTGCTGCTATAACATCGAAAAATTTAAAATGGTGTTAACATTTTCATCGGCAGTGGAAAGTTTTTCAGTTGGCAGCAAGATATTTAGTTAGCAATCCATTATTGTCTCAGTCCCCATTTCATATGCCATTGTATTAGAACTAAAAATATTTGTTAGGTTTGTTATTCTTTGTACATGCAGCTCTCAGGAGGATGTGATCATTGTCATTAAATCACTGTCAAAACATTCACATCCACTCTCTCTCTCTCTCTCTCTCCCTCACACGCAACCACAGCAGCATCTTCTTCCTTATCCTTATGTTATTAAATAAACAGTATTCTGTATTTCTCTACATTGTCTGGGCCAGATATAAAGGCGACATGCTGGAAATTAAAATGGTGCTTTTTCTCTGCAGGCTGGTACAGAGGATTCATCTTGAAGAATCCAAATGCCAAGGTGAGGCTACTTTTTTGGTATGCATATGTTGCTTTAACTCATTTGAACCCTCATTCAGCTCCCCCTTACAAGACTCTTAAGCTAATAGGCTAATGTAGCCTCAGACAAACCTCTGTCATCTACATTACTCTGACATCTACTTGTGCACATTTTAACATCTTGTTTTCCACAAAGTAGACATTATGCACATCATGAAACCCAAACTGAACCACTCACAACAAGTAATCTCTGCATACACATAACATGTAGCACACAGGTTTACTGGGAAAAGGCACAAATGCAGATTGGTCTTGGGATTTCCATCCATCCATATATTATCTACACTGCTTATTCCTGAATAGGGTCGCGGGGTGGCTGGTGCCTATTCCAGCTGACATTGGGCGAGAGGTGGGGTACACCCTGGACAGGCCACCAGTCTATCACAGGGCTCCATCTTGGGATTTTATGAATCAATATTGAATGCTCAGTTAATCAGAAATCTATATTTTTATCCAGGCCTAGAAGTGATAAAATAATGAATAATTGTACCAAACCTGGACCACAACCTGGTCACACACATTATGTACACAGAACCTAGATGGTTTGATCCTGTATAATTGTATTGGTGCTGTATATACATGTAGTTTTACCCTAGGTATAGCTAAAATGCAGGCTCACATTCTAATTGCTGACATTCTTTAAAGAGTAGCAGTCCACCTATTTGTACTGTAACTGTACATTAAAGACAGCTCTTATAGCTCAAACCCAACACCATTTAACACAGTCTGTGTGGGTATATATAGAAAATAAAAGTCTGTCCTTGTTCAAAACCAACCAATTAAACCATCTAAATAATTACTGGTAATTTAAGCACAAAAGATGATGACATGAGCTGACAGGCTGATTGACAGTCATGGATTTTGAAAGCTTTTATGCAGAAGACCATGTGGCAATATAAAGCAAGTTGGGAGTGAAGTGTGAGGGGTGTGTTCAGAGTTTGTGCGTATTTCATTTGCCTTCAGATACTTAAACATACACATCTGCTTTGATCCTCTTCAAGTCAGTAGGGAGCAACTTGCAGTTCATTAGCATCCAACAAGGCCCAAACCTGCTTTTCATCTTTTTGTGTTACCTAAGTCCCATTGCTCCTCACTTTTTTCCTCTTTGTCTACGCCGCTCTCTGTCACCTCTCCTTCTTTTAACCTACAAACACACACATTGTGTACAACATTGTATTGATTATGGCTGCCACATGCTAGTAGGTAAATGCTAATGGCACTGGATGTAAATAACTTGGGGAGCATTGAAGAGCTTCTCATTAATCTGTTTATCTTCTGCCCAAAGGGGATTTTCCCATCCAGCTACATCCACTTGAAGAATGCCCACATCAAGAACAAAGGGTAAGTAATGTAGTGTATCTGTGTTTTTCCACTCCTGTGTGTGTGTGTGTGTGTGTTTGTGTGTGCAGACTGTGGTAGATGTGCGATCTCTTATTTCTTATGCATGTGTGTATGTTTGTAGGCAATTTGAGACAGTCATCCCTGTTGAAGACTCTGTCATCACAGAGATGACGTCAACATTGCGAGACTGGGGTGCCATGTGGAAGCAACTTTACGTGGTAAGAATCCCGACACACACACACAGAGTTTTCGCATTGATTTAAATATCGCTGCCGCCTAAGCGAAGCTGCCTTTATAGGTTTTTCATGAAGGAGAATTGATTTAGCCCTGGGTAATTCGAAAGCCACAAGCAGTTAGAGCTTCTTCACACACACTCATTAGTGAGATCGATTGTGTTTGTGACCTATTAAGCTATCTCGGGGTGCTGATTAAATTGAGCTGATGAATACTTGCAGATCAAAGTGCATTTGTGACAAAAAATCAGCAGGACACTGAAGCTAATTTGGACAAAACCATTTTAAGTCTCTGTCTGCTTCTTTCTCTGGGCCACCCGCTTCCTCTCGATGTTGATTTGGCTCTCTAATGTGTGCTATGTCACTTAGTTTTCACTTGTTTTTGATGGTTCAATGTATTCAATGTAACTTTATTTTCATCATCTTATCTATGTCTTCCTCTCTCTCTGTCTTCCTCATTCTGTTTTTCCTTCCTACCAATTTCATTTTCATTCATTTCCCTTGACTGACTCACCTTTCCTTCTCCTTCCTTCCTTTGATTTTCCTCCTTTTACAGAAGAATGAGGGTGATTTGTTCCATCGACTGTGGCACGTGATGAATGAAATCCTGGACCTGAGGAGGCAGGTGCTGGTGGGCCATCTCACCCATGACCGCATGAGGGACGTCAAGCAGCACATCACAGCAAGATTGGACTGGGGCAATGAGTGAGTAGATAAAGGGCAGGGAGGACGGGGGTTTCTAATATTCAGAAACATACAGACACAGAGTACCATCAGCTTAGTGGATCTTACTTTTTTGGTGTGTTAATAATTCATGACTTAAAGTTTCAGCAGATTTTTATCTTCTGCTCAACTTTTGAAATCCATTCCTTTCTCTTACTAGGTCAGCCTGATGTCTGCTTACTTCTTTTTGGGTGCTGCCTTCTTCACCTTGGGCTTGGCTGCCTTCTTGGCAGGGGCTTTCTTGGCAGCAGGGGCTTTCTTCACTACCTTCTTCGGACTCTTGGCGGGCTTCTTAGGGCTCTTTGCTGCTTTCTTGGCCACTGCAGGCTTCTTCACCTTCTTGAGGGACTATTTAGTGGCTGCAGGCTTCTTAGCTGCAGCTACTTTGGGCTTTTTGGTGGCTGCTGGTTTCTTGGCAGCTGGCTTCTTGGCTTTAGGAGCAGCTTTCTTAACTGGTTTCTTGGCTTTAGGAGCAGCTTTCTTAACTGGTTTCTTGGCTTTAGGAGCAGCTTTCTTAACTGGTTTCTTGGCCTTAGTGTCAGCCTTCTTGTTGATCTTGAAAGAGCCTGAAGCCCCAGTGCCCTTGGTCTGAAGCAGAGTCCTCTTGGCTACCAGGGTTTTGATGGTGATCTTGATGCAATCCTTGTTTTTGTCCACATCATAACCGCCAAAGCCTCCTTGAGGGCAGCCGTGGAGACACCGCCCCAATCCTTCAGTGCGGTTACTGCTTTAATGATGAGCTCGCCGATGCTGGGACCAGCCTTCTTTGGCTTGGAAGCTTTCTTTTTGGGTGAAATTTCCAGGGAAATTTTGAGGAATTCTGAAGTCTTTTGACTGGAGCAACACCAGCCTAAAATATTAGCTTCTGTCGTTGTTCGAGTCTCATGTGGACTAAAGTAATTCAGGCAAATCATCCCAATTTCAATAATCATTTAATATTACAATTATTTTGAACAGTTCAATAGGTTTATGAGACAATCCAACAACCTGGATAGGGAACAGAGAACAGAATCACTCCTCCTACAATGGAATAGATATAGTATTAAATAAGAAGATTGTCACAGAGTCCATCAGTCGTTGTGGCCACAAACCACAAGGTAGAGTCAGTTCAGAGTCCAGAGTCTCCCCCCGGCCGGGTCCAAACGCACACTCACGACTGCAGCACCATCACTCCTTCCACTAACCCTTCGGTCGACCCCAAATTGATGGCATTAGTATCTCAAAGGACTTCATAACTACCGATGTCAGGGTGACAGGTCTATAGTCATTCTGCCCACTGGTTTATTAGGAACCAAGATGTAGTGTTGTATTCAAGACCACTTAAACGGAGACCAAGTCAAGACTAGTACAGTTAAACTGAATTTGATAGTACTGGCTAGCCTGTGTTTCAGTGACACCATATAGGAGTGAGGTTAATGAATATTTTTTCCCTATCTTTTATCTTCTCGCAGTTACACAGACTTCTATTGCTTGAGCCAGAGTCACAGTCCCATTCCAGCTCTACACCCCTTCTTCCTAGAATTGTCTGAGATGTCCAGTACATGAACTTCTAGGTTGCGTTGACCTAGTGCCCATCTCCTATTCTAAACATTAACAGAGCACACGAACAGTTCACATAAGGCTAAAGCTATGTCCATTTCCCATTTAAGGATGACTTCTCTCTGGATGTTTACCCATAAATTAAACAAGGAGGACATAAGCCAAGATATTCTTTCTTGAGCAAGAGAAGAGAAACAGATCAAGCTTACATAAATACTTAGCTCACCCTTACATGACTACTACAAATAATATCTATATATGAACTACACACTATTCTATTACATATTACTTCTGGACTGGTTCCTTGTTTGTTTTTAACCACTACACTTCTCCACCATAGTTCTTTGGCACAAAAAGTCTATGCTCTGGTAGTACTTTCTGATAGGATAAGAACTGTTGAGGGGGTTTGTACTGAAAAAGAAATAAATAAACATAAAACACTCAGCAGCATTGCTTCTTTGGAGACAGGACTTTAGAGTGGTGCATCTCCTTTTCCGCCTGCCTGTCTCTTGCCTCTGTTAATTAGAGCATGAATCAACAGCAAATTACAAAGGACTGCTGAACTCTGTGTTGGTACTTTATCATGTCTAAAAATTCCAAGGCATTTTATGAGACATGACAGAAACAAAAGTATACCCAAAAGGGACTTTGTGAACTTATAATGACTCCAGTAACTCAGTTAAGGGTGACTAAATGTATGTATCCGATAGCAGAAGCACTGAATTTTATTTTAGTGTGTCAAAAAAGAATTGTCACAAATTGTCACTGCGCTGGACTTAAGTCTTCTTAGTAATGAAAAGACCACAGTCGTTTTGAACACACCGCTGAAGATTCATTCCCAGTATCTTCTCATATCTGCATAACCATATTATGGCAATATATCTCCTGAAAACTAGATGAATAAAATAAATTAAACTGCTCACTTTAAGGGATTACCTGCAGACAGTTTCAACTGTTTGAAAGTTTTATTTTTGCTGCACCTGGAAAGCAATCAATCTAAAATCTTACTCTTATTATTTGATCAACTTAACTGACACTTAAAGCAAAAGAAAGTACATTTGAAAATTAAAGGATCAGACATATGTCTTCACATAAAAACAGGGTATTGTAATAGTAACCAACCAATTCACCTATTTCTTTATTCTGCCTGCCAAGCTTCCTTCCCAGAGTGTCTTGCAGTTCTCTACCTTCTTTCCCAGATTTTCTCTTTCTGACACTTTCTTCTTCTCCTTGCTCATCTATTTTTTGTTGTCACCTACCCTCCCTGCAGGCTTACTCCTCACTGAATCAAGTCTCTTTACCTCTCACAGAGACAGCACATCCTCTGTCCATCCTCTCTTTACTCTCTATGCCACAGGGGCAAAATAATAAAAAATCATGAGTTTTGTCATTCTCTCTCACTGTCTGTCCTTACCCTTCAGCCTCCTTCATTTCCCTGCTGTGGGCAGTCCTCAGAGACTCAGTATACACACACACCTCCTTTGTATTGAGCATCTGGTTGGACAGTTCCTCATTGTGCACTGTTGTATGGTTGACCAAGCCTGTCTCATTTATTGCTGACAAGGGGACACACTCTAGCCTGCCATTTTGTTCCACCAAGAGGACCAGCCTAGAGGGTGATAAGAAAAAGGTAGTGGAAGTGAGAGGTGGAACTGTTTGTAGACACCAATGAGAACATGAACAAACAGAGAGGGTTAATGAACGGAGAGAGAAAGAGAAGGGAGGGAGCTGTTGGAGGAAGAAGGATAAAGAGGACAGCAGGCATTGCATGGGGCTAAAGGGAGAGGATTTTTTTCCTTTCATCTGTTCTACAGAAGAGGATGATCTGTCAGGTTTATTTAAATGACTGGCACAGGTGATGTGACAGCTCTGGTGTGTGTGTATGTGTTTGTGCGCTTGTGGGTCAGTATGATACATGTTCATTTTGTTCATCCTCAGTCCAGTTGTCCTTGTTTGCTTTCCCTGTAACAGAGTAGAATATGACTTAACTATTCTTGTATGATTTGTCTGATCTTGTATGTGCCTTTCTGTTACAGACAACTTGGCTTGGACCTGGTCCCCAGGCGAGAATTCAGCATGGTGGACCCAGATGAAATCAGTGTCACAGAGCTTTACAGACTGGTGAGTGGGCCTATAATCATGTCACATTCATCTTGTGTGGAAGTGCAGGTGATTACAGGGCCTGGTTTCAGCTGTTTCTCCAAATCCTAAACAGTAAACTCCATTACAGTGTTAGACACTCAGTGAGATACAGGCATCAGTGTCTGTTTCTGGCATGTAGAATAATAGTATATCTGAATGTGTGAATTTCTTCCTTTTCCAATTGTTTTTGTACCTCTCATCCTCATTCCTGTCTTCCTTTCATTGCTGTTTGTACCCTGATTCTCCTTCCTGCTCTCTCGAAGCCCCAACTGCTGTTACCGTGGCAACCACTTCTCTGCCCTGATACAGTACGGGGAGAATTGTATCACACACACACACACACACACACACACACACACACACACACACACACACACACACACACACACACAGGGGTAATTGAAGCTCTCTTAATCCATCTGTTTCTTTTTTGTAAGTCAAAACAGAAGCAGCTATAGGAGGATGAAAGCAAAATGCACCTCTATTAAATGGCGTGCAAAATGAGCAAATGACCACAATTCCCCTGTACTGGGACAAGATAAAGGGACTGGCATTCACTGCCATCCACACACAAAAACACACATTCGTGCGCAGTGAGACACATTACATCACCACATCAAGTCCATACTATATCAATATTTAACAGTAAGGTCTTTGTTTATGGGAATAGCTTCTTTGTTTCTGTCTTGCACTGTGCTGCCGTGGTGTGGCTTAATTAAACTGAGAAAGGGATTACCTGGTGTATGTGTGTTGAAATAGCAGTGAGGTGTTACCGTGGGAAGATGTAGCTTGACTGCTGCATAATGTCAGTGGGGAAAAAAGCAGATACTGACACAGATACAGGGATGATATTCAGTGCATTTATTAAGAGAAATTCCATGCAGGTATGCCACAGACTACATATGAGTTTCAATCAAAATGTTTGAGTTTGCTGTGACTTTTCCAAAGGCTAATTATGATAAAGTGTGGTAATGTTTAAAGCTGCAATAATGAATGTTTTAGGGATTACTTGTTGTGACAAATCCGCAGTGAATTTACACCTGGCTCTGCTGTTCCCCCACGTCAGCATTGCACTTTAGCATCTTTAAACTTAGTGTTTTGGTTTTATGGCGCGCAACTTTACTACTGTGTTTCACTCTCCTTGTCGTTGATATAGTTTTCAGCCACAGCAGGTAGCTAATTTCAGCAAAAAATCAACAAAGTTAGCAACTAGCCTCTTACTGAACATTGCACTGCATTTAGTATCTTAAAAGTGAATATTGGACTTAAATTTCTAAGGTGAATAAAAACAAAAAACAGAACTCTGTGTGCTACATGCATAAAAGGACAGTTGTTTATTAACTTCCTGCAGCAAGTTTAAAAGGTTTGGTTTCTTTAAAATGATTAAATGGACAGAGCAGCCAAATATTCTAGCAATGCTGTGTGCTTTCTGTTGTGGTTACAACAGATCTTTGTAGGGATTAAGGCCTGATTTTTATTGGGATCCTGAAAACGGACAGTCTTTGAAACATTTTATTTTGTTAGTAGCTTAAAAGTGATACAAAAAAGCATGCCAGCTTCAAGCTTCCAATTTTTTTCTTAGTGAATGGGTTCAGTACAGAGTGGGAGCAGAGTGGACCAGAGTTTAGGTCCTAAGTGACAGTGGGAGATCAGACCTGGCCTTAGATACACGGTAGTCAAACTTCCTTTGTGAGTTCAAGTGATAAGCCTGCACACACATCTCATGCTTTCCACATAGGTCTCCCTCTCGCAAGCTTAAAAGAAGGATGAAAAGAGGCTCAAATTATTGATGGAAAAGGGATTGATGAAATGGAGGGCTGTAGAAAGACTTGAAATTTTGCTTTGGCCTCAGTTTGACCCCATTCTTTTTAGAATCTACTTGTAGTTCAACTGTCACTCAGTCAGGACTGATTCCCGCTGTTTAGGAAAAGATTACAGAGTGAGCAATAATAAGATGGTTGGCCAAGCACACATGGTCATGCTCACTCTGTTCATCTTTCTCTCTCTCTTGGCCTCTCTTTGTTGTCCACAGCATTATGTGATTCCAACAGGGAAAGCAGCCTTAATCCAAGGCTGCCATGTCTATCCTTTGTGTCTAGTCATGCTGAAGCTGTCATATCACCTCACTCCGCTCCTGCTGGGCAGCTTAAACAACACACCAAAAATAACCTCGTAATAAAATCCCACAGCATAAATTAGACCTTCTAGGACCTAGTCATTCTGCGTCAAAACCACCTCAGCCCTGTTATGCAGAGTAAGGCTGAAATGGTAAAGTAAAAAGCAGAGCTAGTGCCTTGTTGTTGGGTCATTCAGTATGTTTTCTTCTGGGATCTAAAGCATCAAAACATATTCATCATTTTGACAGATTGATTTGTGTATCAGTTTCCACTTTAAGTCTGAAAGGCTCATGTTAGTAGTTTTTCATAGTATAGTCCACTGTTTTCCAAAGCATATTTTATATTTAAAATTTTGTACCCTCTAGGCAGTTACTGTTTATCCCGTATTTAACTACAGCATGACAATTAACTTTCAGAGACCCAAACCTTCTCTTAGTTACTTGTTTAGTACATGTTTTATTGCCTTTATATTTTGTCAAAGCAGCATTGCCATTGGTAGTAAATGCACTGGCATGGAGTGATTATGATGAAAATTTCAAACTGTATCTTTTGAGTTTCACTGTTCATTATGCAACATGATTGCAGCTTATTACTCCTGTGAGAGTCTTTTGTCTGCTCTCTTTCTTTTCTTCTCTCCTCATCCCCCTCACCATCACTTCACATCCTACTGCATAAGTGAATGTGGAGCAAAATTTGGCAGTGTCTCTACTGGCCATCTGGTGTGCTGTGTGTGTCTGTGTGTCCTTGTATTTTTGGATGTTAGGATTAGTTTAGGATGAAGCTCTCATAAACAGAGATGTAAATGGGTGAGCTGATCTGGATAGTATTTACAACTCTGCACCATACTGTTTGAGGCTGTATTTATGCTATTGATATAGATTGACTTAATAAATCCACTGCACTACCAGACACTGAGATGCCTTTGTGCAGTGCTGTCTGAATGTTTTTTGCTCAAATTTATTTAGTGTGAGTCTTCACGCCTCTGTTCCTAAATTTCAGAGATTAAGCAGTCACTTCATTGGAACACAAATAACAGCCATGTTTTATTTTTGTGTCAAGAAAATTATTATCCTACTCAAATATATATGTGTAAGTTAAACAGGAAAGGGTAAACACAAGTTTGTTGCTTTTATACTTGCTTGAGATGATGTAGGACATTACATGTATTTTATAGAAGGCTGTAATAGATTTCTGTGAAAGCCTTTGTATTCTAAAGTACATAAATACATCTGCAAGTGTTTATGTGCAATATATGCAGCACATTGTGCATCCTGTCCCATTTGCTTCTTTTGCACCAAGACTGCAACAAATAGCAAATCATACAATACAGCCAGGCCTCTTGCATCTAAGCTTCTGATGTTGCTGATAGTCTGCAGTATTACCCACTGTATTAACTTGATCTATATCAACCAAATCTACATATTATGCTTTCTCACTGTCTGCAAATATATGTGCAAATCTGCTACAGAGTTCCTCCAAACTTTTGACTAAGGAACTCAACACAGAATATAACTACTGAATGTGATTGGCCAGTATTAAGAGAGATGTAATGTTGTTTTTCCCCCAGCACTAATAGTATTTGATAAGCTTTAATCCTGTATTTAAGGATCTTTCAGGATTTAAAGCTTATGGATTTTACCTTTTTTTTTAAACCTTTTCAAATCTACCCCTCTAAACCTGTATCAGAACAGTAGAATATATGTATTTTAATCACTTTTGTTAATTTGTTGTATTTATTCATAGTTTCAGATGAACTTTTCTCTACTCTTGTTTTCTTTCCTCTGCAGATGGAACATCGGCATCGTAAGAAGGAGACCCCTGCGCCTGCTAGCACCCATCACTTGCTCGTGCATGTGAAGAGCCTGATGAGTGCTAATGTTGGGGAAGAGCTAGAAGTCTTCTTCCACATTTATGATGGACGGGAGAACCGGCCACTCAGGTAGAGGCTTTAAAGAAAATAACTCCCCATTATTTTAAGAAATACTAACAATTTTTTTTTGTTTTTTTTAATTATTTTGTATGCAAGTAATTGATTTAGGTTATTTCATGGTGCCCCTTCTGATGTCATAAAGGCTGCTCTAATTTTGTTCATGAAGATTTATTAAATGAAGTAGTTTGTTAAAGTGTACTTGGACACTGAACAGCACTGAAACTCCTTTTGAAACAAGAAATGCTCAAGGATATTTGGGTTTCATGGTCTGATTCTGAATCAGATCTGCAATATTCTTTTTTCTCCTTTTGACTCATAAATCCAAAATTGTGATCTAAGTTAAAGGGTTTGGCAATAATGAAGGCAACTTTTCATCTGTTCTCAGCCTATGCTCTGTCTTGAAATGGATAGTTAGCATCCGGTGTTATCATTATTATCATTATCATGAAGAACTTTGTCCTATTCTCCTTCTCTGCATCACTATCATTCATCAGTTTTCTGCCTTGCTGTCTATTTCTTTCTATCCCTCCCTGTCCATTTTCTTGCCATTGTGAAATATTAAGTACCTTTGCCAGGTCTGACTAAAGACACCTTTAGCCATGTATTTGGATTTACATTACACTTTCTTGAGAAATTGGCTTTAGTTAAAATATCTGTGTCACAAAAGCAGAATTTCAATGTGTACAGTACATTAGAAACACAATGATCATTATCCAAACTGAATATAGCAAATAGCATATTAATCAACACGAAGGACAGTTATTCTCATAAAGGTTTATCTTGTTTATCAGTTTTTGGGAGATAAAAGCAGTCAACACCCTCAGCCATTGTACTTTTGTGGTTTTAATTTTCAGTGTATGTTGTGATCACATCAGTTTTCTTTGAGGAAAATCTTGCAGTGGCAGCTCGCCAATCTGGTCTCTCACTGTCAAGTCACACACATGCACAGCACACACATTTACACAACCTGCCTGGCAGGGAGCCATTTCAAGCCTTCCCTCTGTGCTGGTGGTTTCTGTGTGTGTGTGTGTGTGTGTGTCAGAAACCAGATGGGGGTCTGACCTGTTGTCTCAGTACTGTGCCAAAGCCGGTAGCTCCTGTGGACCATGGCAGCTTCTTTGTGTTCCTTGTGTCCCTCTTGAGCAGGACACACACAGGGGTATAGTGTACAAACCCTCACACCTGTACCTGCTGCTGTCTTAGCCTTATAGCTTTTGATGCTATTCTAAAACATACACACATATTTATAATGACATTTGCACACACACACACACACACACACACACACACACACACACAATACACACACTTCTCCCTTCCTCTGTTTGACCTCCACTTGGGTTTTACAAGGTCATTCATGGATAGCGAGATTTTTGCGTGCATTTGTGCACATTTTTGTGGATACCTCAGGCTGTGTATGTTTTTGACAGGGATGTTGCAGGGTCCTCCTTGTGTGTTTTCCTTCTGTTCTTTCACTTGTCTGCCATGTTTTCAAGGTTTAAGACTTTCTAGGTGGCCTCCATGGGTGGATTTATGTTTTTTTAAAACAGGTATGGGGGCAGCACTTGCAGTCAATTTATACGGTACACTCCAGTTGCTCACTACCCGGCACCTTGTTGTGTGAGAGCACAACTCCCTATGCAGTCATCAATATCAGGTGAGGGAATAGTGAGCGCTGTTAGGGCCCAGAGGGGAGGGAAATAGGCCATTCATGTTATGTTAATGAGAGTCGTGAAATAGGGAGATAAGGTCCCACTGGAGGGACAATGGTCCTCTTAGCCCGGGAGATCAACACGCTGCAGCTGTGAGGGAGAAGAGTTGGTGGCAGTGGGTGGGAGGATGTTTAAGAGAGGGCAAGGGACTTGTGCTTGTGTGTCTGTGTTTGCAGGAGTGGCTGTTAATTGGCAGTTGGGGTTTCAACAATAGAGCAATAATTAGGGTTTGGGAAAGCATGCGGAAGTCTCATGTCTAATGCATAGGAATCTGTCTCTATATGGTTGGATAAATGACCTGGAAAGTTGCAGAGAACAGCTAATGATGAATAACTGCATTTAAATCAAATTCGATCTCAATTGGTTGCTTCCAATTTTTTGTCACTTTTGGCTTTTCCCGTTTTAGGGGTCGCCACAGCAAATCGTCACTCTGACGACTCGCATGTTGACATTTGGCACGTGTTTTACGCTGGATGCCCTTCCTGACGCAACCCTGACTCGAACCCGGGCTGCAGCGGCCTACCAGGGACAGCTATAACTGGTTGCTTCCAATACGGCTGATAAATGGAAAGCTCAACTGAAGGAATACATGTATAAAAATTGCATTTGTATAATTAATAATTAATTTAAACATGAGCACTCACTGCCCTAAATACACAAAACTGTGAATTACAGTGCTAGAAGAAGCCTCTTATTTACATCAGACAAGCGATATGACAACTTTGAAGCTTGTAATAAGAGCTTTTCATAGCTCAGGCTATTATAAAACATCCTAATCCATTGCTGCTTTATGCAGCATAAAGTCAGTTTTATATGATCTGTTGGGGTCATTTCTGCTCTTGTGTGAATGGGCCTACTATGGCCTGCGCTGATGGCCATGCCAGTGACTTAGCTCATTGTCAGGCGCTGGCGCATTACAAGATTCTCTCTCTGCTTATCAGTGGACTGTGAAAGTCACCTAACTGGATTAGCCCAGAGCTTGCCAGCCAGGATGACATAGGTCTAGCAGGATGCCTCTGCTGCCTCACAGAGCGTGTGCGCAAGATACAGTAGAAAGAGGGCCAAGTACAAAGAGAATGAAAAGGCGATCTGTGTCGGTTCTTTCTGTTTTTGCCCAACATGCATGTAATTTCCTGTCTGCATGAAGGGTGATGCAGAACATTTGAGGCCAAAGTTTTTATTTCGAGACACTTCATTCTGCTCTTGAGTTTCATATATTAAAGTTGCAATTTAGAGTACACTACCAATCAAATGTTTCTCAGACTTTCTCATTCAGTTCAGTGGGAAAGTGTGCCCAGACATTTTATTGTCAGCTATCCAAAACATGATTTGGTGTCCTTTCTAAATCAGACAATTTACTTTTCCAATTGTCGCAGTGTGGCTGTTTATAACCTTATTTTTAGCTGCACTAGCATCACAGCTCTAGAAATCCAAATGTCAGTCTGGCAGTCTGTCGATTATTCCATCACTTTTGCCCAGACTGAAATATTTTAACTATGGAGAGACATATTCCTCATAGAGGATAGTAGCAAAGCTGTAGACTCTTGTTGACAGAGGCATGTATCAAGTAGGTCTGCACTGTGTGTGTCTCCCTGTCTGTAGGTCTGTTTTGCCTGTGCTTAGTTTGTTTTTTAAGTCTCTCTCTCAACACTTTAACAGTATTGTACAAAAATGCAATAGAAACAAAGCATTTATGGTATATGGCTGACTGCAATTGCTGCCTGTGTACAGTTTAAACATTAAATTACACAGAGCTTTGACACTTACCAGCACTTAGCAGGATAATTTTTCTTTCAGTGTTCACCTTGCTAATTATGATCCCAGCCCTGACACAATCAATGACAGCTGGCTTAGCAGTTGTAAGGCTGTACATACCTGGGCTAAAAAGTGTTAGAGAGAATCCACAACATGCAACAACAGAGCAAATCTTTTATTTACCTGGGGAGACACCACGTGTTGCTGTTCTGCTGTCAGATGTGTTGCAGACATTCTGTGTTGGGGATTCGATTCAGTAATTGAAGCTTTGTCTTTTCTTTCCTTCTATCCTTTTGTCTCTGTTCTCTTTCTGCCTATTTTTCTCCTGCCTCATTCTGTTTCAAGGCTTCAGACAGATTTAGTTAGAAGTACGAAGTAATTTTTCCAGTGTCCACCATTTGGTACTTGACATGTTTGACACTGTTTCTAAGCTTGTTTCTGTTCTTCTAAGCAGTGCCTTGGATGCACTTGGGTATAATGACATCCACCCATCACTCCTGACTCCATTCATCTCAATGTGTGTTCCCTCTCTGTGTCTCTCCACTTGTACAGTGAAAGGTTCTTTGTCAGGCTGAATAAGAATGGGTTGCCCAAGTCACCAGAGAAGACAGAAAGACAATGCACGCTATTTGTGGTGAGTAGTGAACATGACTTTATGTTTACAAAGATTGACTGTGAGTAATTTAAACCAATGGACAGCTGACATAAGTCATGTTCCATTATGCTGAAAACTTTAAGCAAAGTTGGTGCTCTTTAGTTTGTTGACAATAAATCAGCCTGATGCTGAAGTATGTTTTCCTGTCCTGTTTGGCAGGATTTGGGAAGCAGTGATCTACGAAAAGATGTCTACGTTGTTGTGCACATCATAAGAATAGGTAGGAGTTACAGTATGATGCTGCTTCTCTTTACACTGAGCACTATGTTTTTTAAATCGTTCTGGCTTTCATAGCACTACTGTCCTGACTGTAGATCCTTTGTGTACATTTATGTGTGCACAGGGAGGATGGGAGCAGGGGAGAAGAAGAATCTGTGTAGTGTGCAGTACAGGCGACCATTTGGCTGCGCTGTCATCAGTATCACTGATCTCCTCACGGCTGACTCCAAGGATGACCACCTGCTCAAGGTTTATGCGTAAGTGACTGCAATAATCTTTCACCACTAAGTTCTCCCTTCCAGTTATTGAACAATGGCGTACTTAAAGGAATAGGTCAATATTTTGCTTCTTGCAAAATATGAAAAAACAATCCAGTAATCTGAGCATAAACCACAAGTAGTGATTTTACAGGGGGTTCTTTACGCTACACTAAGCTAACTTAGTGAAAGTGAATAAGAATTTTTCCTTAAACGAGTCACTGGGCTTTAAAATGAGCTATGAGTCAAATTTATTTTCAAAATACCAACAACAGGAAACAGTGCTAGAAATCCCTTTTATGAAGCTTCAGTACATCACAATAAAATTCAAGACATTTTCGTTAGCTGGTGTCTAACTAAATGACTGCAGTGTTAACAGAAACGTTTCAGAAAGAAAAAGGTAGTCAGTGAACATTTTCCTATTGTACTTCAGAGACTTGATGATTTTTTTTTCACTACCATTGGGAATGGGAATATACTGTGGTCCAAACTAGTCTGCACAATGCCCCAAGGGACAGAAAAGGCTGCAGTCAACGCAGTAGCATGACCTAAATTATAGCTGGATAAGACTGACTGGTCAAATACATTTAGCTCACAACCATTTTCACTATACCTGTGGTAACACAAGTGAGAGGTTTAGTTGAATTATCATTAAAGGTCTGAGCTGAATGTTTTCAGAGTCAGTGTCAGATGAGACGCCATTGCAAGTAAGGATTTGTTCAGACCTGGCCTGCCCTATTTAAAAACGGAATAAGTTTTGTTTTTAGTCAGAGTCAAACTAATATAATTGAATCATGTTTTTTTTAATATTCATTTTATACATTACAAGCAACCAGGTACTTAGAGCACAAGGTGTCTGATAGGAAGACACTGCAGCATGTTGTGAGGATGGCTGAGAAGGTCATCTAGGTCTCACTCCCCTCCAGCCAGGACATTTACAAGGATGGATCAGAAAGAAAGCTGTCTGCATTGTGAAAGACTCTTTCCACTGCTCCCATGGACTGTGTGATCTCCTGCCATCTAGCAGAAGATATTGCTCCATAAAAACATCGAGAATATGCTATAGTTTCTTCCAACTTAACACACCGCAACTTTGCACATTCACATAATATAGCTAACTTCAAAACAATCTTTATTATGTATTATGCTTATTTATGTCTCTTTAAATATTTTTAACTCAAGCATTTGATTACACTTTTAGCATGGCACTTGTCTTTTTTTTTATTGCTCTTACTTTCTTGTTTTAATTTGTTCTTTTGTTTTGTACTGAAATGAAATTTCACTCTGCTGTACATGTATATAAATATGACTGGAGTGACAAATAAAACTGAACTTGAACTTGCAGTGCAATAGACTAGCATACTAGCACTAGCAGCAAAGATAGACAGGTGTTACAGTTAAAGGGAAGCTCAACTGACTTTAGACAAATCTGCCTTGTCATGTGAAGTCTAATATTTAGCATTTTAAGTGAGGTTTGTCAAGTTTGAGAAAATCCTGATGTAATATGTCTGCTCTAAAGCAGAAAGCTTGTGTTACAAAGTGTGAATGCTTTGGATACTTCTTGTTGCATAATGGGAAGTATAGGATCCAGTTTTTCCAGGTTGACTCATATAAATACTGTATTTTTGTCTGTGTTGCGTCAATTTTGACAGTTTTTTTGTAATCTGCCTTATGTGAGTCCAGTCATTTTTTGAAGTATACCACTTAATTAATGGATTGGCCCTTTATGTGGAAAATTTTGAAAGCTCATTTATTTTCTTTTACTGCCTCTCATTATTTGTCTCAGGTGTAACACTGAGAGTGAGTGGTACCAGATCCATGAAAACATCATCAAAAAGGCCAATTCCAGGTATAACCTGTCTGGATCTAACACTGGTAAGAACCACATCTGTTTTATTCATTTTGCTTTCTCAAGGCTACTCCTCTTGATTTGAGTAATGCTACAAGATGGCCTCCTTGGTAGTGTGTGATTTGGTTTTAACCAGAGGTACATGTTCAGTTTTTCTTTTATTTCATGTTTTTAAAATCAAATAACAGCTTCCAAAGCTGTTAAATTCAACAGTCTTGTGAAAATTTAGATTTTTTTCATGAAGCCTTCACCATGCTGTGATGACAAACTTAGCAGCTCACTTGGTCATTTGTCTCTTACTGTGTATAGTCAGTGTCTGGGGAATCTGAAAAGAGTTTGTGTGGGTTTGAAGTTCCTCTTTAGGGGAAAAGATCAGTCTCAACATGGTTGTGTCTGCAGGAAGCCTTGCAGATGCATTCAGATGACTTTTATAAATAACTATATTTGCACCACACAAAATGGCAGCATCAGCAGTTTCCCATAGCAACATGTTGGTGATGAATCAGAACATTCAGTTCTTCAAATGTCAAAGAGATGTCATGTGACGTGTGACAGTTATACCTCATTACATCAACTGTCTAGTGATTTTAAGGATCATACAGATACAGCTGTTAGAGGAATCATACTGCCAATATTTTTTTGTGTACACTAAATGATAGCACAAGATGAACTTTTGGAATTTAGGCTCCAAAATCTAATCTGTAGTGAAGGCAGCTCAACTATTATGCAAAGTGTGATGCTGTTTGCATTAAAAGGCAAATGTACATACAACCAACAGTTTGTCTTAGAAGTTTGTCTTAAAACTGATTTACATTAATTTATTGATGAACCATTTCTCCAAACTTGCTGCAGGCTGTTATTTTAATAATGAAAATATTCATTTTTATTGTTAGAGAAAAATTATAGCCAGCTCCCAAAGAAAGGATTATCAGCATAAAACTCAAGAAATGGGACAAAAGAATTATAGGAATGTGAAAAATCCTTGACTGAATTACCGAGTCAGCTCCTCTTTCCACATTCGCCGAAGAGAAGCCGTATGACTCCTGGATGTTAAATTACCATGAATAATCTTGCATAAGTGTGAAGGGATGCGGTAATTAAACTGAATGACACACAGCCATTTAGCACAGTCTGCATTACCCAAGCAGGGTATTTTACACCACGGTGGTTCATAACAAAACTGCAGTCATTTTCGGCTTTTGCAGTTTTAGGGGTCGCCACAGCGAATCGTCACCTGACGACTCGCATGTTGACATTTGGCACTGGTTTTATGCTCGTTGCCCTTCCTGACACAACCCTGTGTTTCTATTGAAAGCACATTATGTAATGTCTGCTGGATGTGTAATCAAAAACAATTGATCACACTCATTGGTAAAAACTATGTCAATGACAGAAGACAGCATGTTGCCTTAGTTCTCAGTATTTTCTCTAAATTTATTCATCATGTAAGTGTTTGCCTCAGGGTTTTATTTGACAGTGTTTTTCACACTCACCCAGTGCAAACACTGGCACACACATTGTAAACACATGTAAGTGAATTATTTTAGAGTTTACTCCCATTGTTGGCCGCAGTACACAGTTTATTGACAAACACTTGGATGTTAGCTATTCAGTAGCTGTCAGCTAAAGACATTGATCCAGCTGAATGCTTGATTTGTCTCAGTGCTTTCTCTTTAAAAGTGCATTAGAGGAGCGTGTCTTTTGCCACAATATGCTGGCGTGCATAATTCAAGCACAGCCACTTAATAGAATTTAACATTGATCTTATTAAATGAAAGAAAAATGCTTTGATCACAAAGCAAAATGGTGATATTTTCAGTTTTTAAGATAATGAACACTGGATATTAGGCTTTAGTTATTCCTCTGTCTGGACCAAATCTTTTAATTATAATTATATTAGCTGTGACAGTTTGACTTTGTGAGGGTTGTACTATTACTGCTTCCTTTTAACTTACGCCTCTTGAATTACTTATTTCTCTTTCTCTGGCTTTCTCTCTCTCTCTCTCTCACACACCCACACACCGTCAGGGACCAAGCAGAAAGGAAAAAGACACAGCTTTCAAAGTTCAAAATAATGGGCTTTTTATTAACCCAAAAGTGAGGAAAAAATACAAACATTAACATCAGATAAATTGGGCCCTAAAAGAGGTTAACAAAAGATAAGGAAACTCAAAATACAGCAAACTGAACTTTCTGATACCTCAACAAAAACCAACTGACCTAACAAGTGACACACACAGAGGTAGTGATGGCCTTATGGCACCCGAGGCTCCGACACATGCGCGGTAGCTCATAAAGCAAATGTTTCGAACCACTGTGCTGAGGTGTGTTTTGGTCATGTGACTAGTGACGTTTGAATCACTTGAGTGATGTCCAAAGCAGTTGGGTTCATCGGACGTCAGGTGAATCAGCTGATTGGTTCGGTTTGTCATGTGAATCACTTTGCTTGATCGAGTGTGTTCAGAGATAGGCTATCCCTATTTATTGGTGTTCATTTGAAATGTCTTTGGAGAGCAGGTTGGTTTGTTGCTGTTGCGTTAGTTGCTTTGAGAGTTAGTAGTGTTGTAGCAGATTGTGTATTTAGTGGAGAATCACTGGAGATAGAGAGACAGATCAATAGATAGTAAGTTAGAGAGAAATAGATAGTTACATAGTTAAATAACACTAGATATAGTTACATAGATAGTCCTAAATAACGTTAGATATAGATAAGATATATATACTGTAGGTATAGATATGTTGCATATATAGTTACTGTTGTGGAAAAAATATCTTTTAAAGCTCAGTGAGTGTAAAATAAATACTTAACATCAATTCTGAAAGTTATTACATATTTATTCCTGCAGGAAGGAGTGAACTCTGAACAGAGTGTCTAATACAGTCTGTTGCAAAGAAGCTCAATGAACAGAATGTGACTGCCCTTCTTATATTCAGCATACAACAACAGAAAACAGATGCTCAAACAGATAAAGGAAACAGAATACTGGTTAAAACAGAATACATGTTATCTAGTTCAGCATTTACACAAAGGCATGCATATCACTACAAACATGCTGATACAGTCAACTGTCTAATGTCACAAGCACACAAATAACTGCATACCATGACTTGAAAGCATCAGTTAATAAACTTAAAGGGCGCTATAATAAAAATTGCCACCACAGTTACCCAAACCTCTATGAATTATCCAAGCATTTCCTGTGTACCCCAGCCTCATCTATGTCATATGAATGGGTTTTTTCCAAGGCTGGGGAGATGGCCTGTAAAAGGAGAAACCGCTTGTGTCCAAAAACTGTGGATATACTGTTATTTCTCAATAAAAACTCACAAACAGTTACACAAACACACCCACTGTCCTGTTCTTCAACCACACCCTCTTTACCCACATACCCATGGACCTCTTTACCAATGAACCCCAAAACAAACTTTGCCAAAGTCCATAGTATAATTTGTATTTGCACCAGTCCCATGTGCAAATGACATCTGTCTGAATCTGTAGACCACATTTCATGAATGTAGCAGCACCATTTAAATGTTTCATAACACAAAATATAAGTGAGGAGCATATAGGGTTACACTCAGACGTGCCACATAAGAAACATGGTCTTCTACATGTGTCAATGTTTATGTTATATTTTATTGTGTCAGCTTGAAACCATACAACCATGTAGTGTAGTCGAACAGGAATGTGCATGGCGAATCAAATCCCAAACAATCCATGAACCAATAAGCGACATGCCTTGACTGCACTTCAATTTCTTGAGCACTAGGTGTCCTACTGGAGCACTGAGTCATTGAGGCCTCAAGTAATGAACCATTTGTGTGAATACTGTGTCGAAGCTTCAACAAAGCCTCATCGGCCATCACTACACACACGGGAACATATATATTTGCTGGCCAAACCAATAGTACACACAAGGGGTAGACCAAAGACACTACCAAAATAATCACCTAATGAACACTAAACAGACTGCTCTCAGCTAAATATTTCCTTTACATGTGAAGAAATTAACATAACTTGACATAAAGTTCTAACATAAACTACCAACAAATAAACAATAGATTTCTCCCAGACTCCCCCCTTCCTTGTATTGAGCACTTGGTGCAGTCCAGGCCTAGTGGGAGGTATTAAACCTGCTGCTTCCTCAGTCCAATCTTTCGGCTGAAGCGCCCCCCCCCCCTCCATGGACCAGGAAACACGGTAACTCAAAAGAAAATGTACACATATTAACAATACAGAATTAATCAAACGTGCATGCTCATTGATCAATTGTGTATGTATAATATCAGAAAACATTTATCTACAACTTAACCTACACACAACAAAATTACCCACCCAAGTCCATGGCTGGTGGTGGTTTAGGCCCTCACATGGTGAAGGCCAGGACACACACACACACACACACACACACACACACACACACACACACACACACACACACACACACACACACACACAGCACTGGTGACAGTAGGAGCACAGGATGTAGCAACCTGATGTCATGTTCACATTTTTGGGGATGCATATTTAGTAACTATTTTGAAGTCTGCTGAAACATCGCTAATGCAAACTCTGAGTGGCTCTTTTATCAGCTTTCATAAATATTGTTCTAAATACCTTAGCAGTTTCCTGCCCACTCTACATTCAGAGCAGCTAAAACATAATTTGCAGCACATTTTTACTGGGTATTACTTCATCTGAAAGGTCTGTCCCTCCAAAAGGGCAATTATTCTGCTGCAGAGCAACAATACAGAGTAGATAACACTTGAGTTGCTTGTCTAGCCTCAACACCAATTGTGTATATTGGAGAGAACATTTAATCTTTAGCAAACAAGGCAGTGTCTCATCGCCAATTTGTCCCTCCAGAAACGTCCATGCAGGATTTACAGGACGCCATACATAAATGAAGGACCACAATTAATTATAGTTAGTGTCAGAAAGGCAATTAAAGTAAGTGTGCAGTGGAGTGAGATAATAATGTGTGTTTTATATACAATATGTGTGCACTATGCCATTTGCATGCTT